CCACCAGAGATTGCCTATGCCCAATCGACAGTCGCGGACGCTTGACACGGCTGCGTTCTTCCAGATCTTCGATAAATTCTGCGCACTCTTGCAGCCATCCAAAATATTCGCCCAAGATGGTGACTTGGCGAGAACGCTCCAACAGGTCGCGCTCAACATTCTCCGCGTTTTCCATTTTTGTAAAAAATTCACTTGTACTGCACAGAAATAACTACTTTAATTGCACACTAAACTTTTTTCTTACAGCTATTTTTCCTTGAGGAAAGCATGCGCTCGCCAGTGGTACTATGGCCAGGCAGCGGCATCGGTCCTCATTATATATCCCGATCAACCCTTTGTTCGTCAACGTACGAACGAGAAAAATTTAGATGACGTAAATTTTCGGCGCTTGTTTTGTTTATAAATTTCTGCAGCCGCTGGTTATCGGCGCTGGTATTTCTTCCTAAGATAAACAATAAAGAACCGCCTCTTATTGGGGAAGTACCGCGAGGGTGAAATGCAATCCCATGCAAAAACATGTCGCAGGCAGCGAGGCCGCAAGCGGCGAGGTTGCAGGCAGCAACTTGTTTGCCCTGAAACTTTACCCGCTGATATTTCTTAGAAATATACAGATAACGTATAGATCATGTATCAACCCCCTTGATTGTCGGCGCTCACCAAGCGGCAGCCCTTCTTAGAATTTGATTATCTTAGATTTTCAGGGAACTGATTGTCGGCGCTCGGATCCAAGCGGCAGCCCTTCTTAGAATTTAATTATATTTTTTAGAAATATACAAATAACGTATGGGGGAAGAAACGCAACCTCCTTGATTGTCGGCGCATGCCAAGCGGTGGCTTTTCTTAAAATTTGATTATATTTCTTAGAAATATACAGATAACGTATGAGGAGAAGAAACGCACCCCCCCCCTCCCCCTGATTGTCGGCAGCGGCAGTCTTTTTGTAATAGATATTGCTGGAATGTTTATCTTATCTTTTAATAAATATCGCTGGAATGTTTATCTTTTGTTTATAAACATATAAGGTAACATGAGCCTCTTATCAGGTAACCTGAGCTGATAAGATAAGCTTATCTGCTGATAAGACCCCCGCCCGCGTGACGTCATACCCCTTCGCCCCCGAAAACCCCCCCGCCCCGTACCCCCCTCAGAGGACCTGGTCCAGAACCCCCATAGTATTTCTACTAGCAACTCCTCTAATCAAAGTTTTACAAAGCGAGGGCAATTTTTCACAGGCTTTACTTGCTATAATCGCGGAAAAATAGCAAATACAATTTAACATGATTAAATTCGGTACTTCTAATTTTAAATGTGAATAAAAAGAATTATTACATCCGATCATTACTGACGCGTTATCGCTTGCCATTCCAACAATATTCTGTATCGGAATTTCGTTTTTTTTCTAAAAATGTTTTAAAAGTGTTCTTGTTTCGCCGTTCGATTGTTCGCTCAAATACGGTTGGAGGCGAAGAGGGATGTGTTTTGGAAGACGGAGCGGGATCCGATGACACTTTACTCAAACTTACTCTACTCACAAGTATATTTTGAGATAAATAATCGATGCTCGCTCGTGTGACAAAGTCGTTCGCTTGCATGACAAAACGAGAGGGCTCAGATCGCACACTGGCCCGGAAAAGGCGCGCAACAGTATGCGCGGGGCCTCCTTCCCCCTGCCCCGAGCTCCTCGATCCATCCTGCAAGCAAGGAGAAAGACGCCCGCGCTGCCGAAGAGATGGCAAATATATAAAAACTGTCAAGAAAGCTGAATTGTCGCTCTGACAATAGCCGAGTGTCGATCCAAAGATCGAAAACATATTTTCAATCGTGCGACCTCGGTCTCGGACATCGAGATCGAGTGTGGATCAGCAATTCTCGGCCGCCGATATTTCGTCGGTTTTTGTTCGCTCTCCAACAAAAAGTTTTAAACATATTTTTTGCGGTACAATTTGTGGCATCTAATAATAGTAATTCTAACAATTGTGTTTTTACTTTTTTATTAATAGGACAAACGTATTTTACAAGTACGCACATAAATTTAGTATTTGTGACATCTGTACTTTTGTCTATTAAAATGGAAAATTTACACGTTTTTAAAATTTCTATCAATTTTTCTGTTTCGCGTTTTGCAATTATTTCTTTAACGATTTGAGTGCACTTTATTCGGCCTAATAAAAGATCTCGTACAATTCCAGACTTAATACAAATATCTTTTAATAAAGAAACTAAATGATCTACATTTCCAAAAGCAATATTATGTTCCGCGAAAAAGGATGCTAATTTAATTTCCGCGCGTTTTACTTTATCAATATATGGTAAAGTATTATCGACATCGGGAGGACTTTGATCATTTTGATGTTGACTTATTTTTGTCATATGTTTGACCGATTGTGAGTGAGCTACTAAATTTGTCTTACAACAAGCAATAGTTTTTTTACAAATATTACAAAATGCTTTATTTGGTTCAGAATGGGGAGCCAACCATCCTTTAAAAATTTTTTCGTCTAACCATGAATTTTAAAATGCGCGGATTTTTTAAATAGCTTCTTTACTAACGTTTGGATCCATAATGCACTTTTATATTACATAAATTGTAATAATTTATTTATTTTTACGTACGTTCAATTTATCTGCTTCCTGCGATTCCGCCAAAACTCCGTGGTCCAGGGTCTTGGTCCGTAGCTGCGCGCGCAAACATTATACGTTACTGTAGTCGTCATGGTTACGTCACGGTAATACGCGCATGCGCGAAAAAACCTAGCCCGTCTAACAACACTGGTATCATCATTCGCGCTTCTTTTAGAGACATATATTGTCGTGCAGTACTCCGTCGATTTCGTACGTCGCGCTCAGTCCGTCCGTAAGTCATACGAGACTCGTAATGGGACTCCTGTCGTTCGTCTGTGTATGTGTATGCCTGTGCGGCTTCTATTCTATCCATACGTGTGTTTAGTGTATGTAGCTTTGCATGTATAGCTTGTATTATATTAAGCATTTGTGAAGTTTCTCCGGGCGCTATGACGGAGGGTTGTTGTGACGTAACGTCTAAATTCTGTCCCATTTGTGCAAGGACTTGTCGGAGTATGCTTATTTCGGCATCTATCGCGGCTGGCGGAATAATCGCGTCCGCGTTTGTATTTTCTGCCATATTTATTTCGTTATAAATTTCTGCGGGGTTGAATATTTTGCTGTCGTATGACGTTAATGAAAATTCTTTCCGCGAAGATACTTAGTAGGAATATAAGGCCGGTTCTAACCCAGGTCCTCTGAGGGGGGTGCGGGGCGGTGGCGAGGGGGTATTACGTTACGCGGGCGGGGGGTCTTATCAGCAGATAAGGGGCTGATATGTTCATAAACAAAAGATAAACATATATCTATTACAAAAGGACTGCCGCTGCCGACAATCCGGGGGGGGGGGGGTTGCGTTTCTTCCCCCCATACGTTATCTGTATATTTTTAAGAAATATAATTAAATTCTAAAAAGGGCTGCCGCTAAATCCATGCTTGAGCGCCGACAATCAGTTCTCTGAAAATCTAAGATAATCAAATTCTAAGAAGGGCTGCCGCTAAATCCATGCTTAAGCGCCAACAATCAAGGGGGTTGATACATGATCTATACGTTATCTGTATATTTCTAAGAAATATCAGCGGGTAAAGTTTCGGGGCGAACAAGTTGCTGCCCGCAACCTCGCAGCTTGCGGCCTCGCTGCCTGCGACATGTTTTTGCGGGGGATTGCATTTTACCCTCGCGGTACCTCCCCAATAAGCGGCGGTTCTTTATTGTTTATCTTAGGAAGAAATACCAGCGCTTCACTAAGGGGTATAAGGGAACCTCGCGCAAGCTCCTGAAAGAAGTGGCCGACATAATATCCACGGCCACAAAGGAACTGGGCAGAAGGACGGAAAACGAGGAGAACAGAAAACTGAAAGAAGAGAATCGGCTCCTCAAAGCAGAGATCACCTCCATGAAGAAGACAGTCCAGGGCTTCAGGGAGGAGATAAGATGCCTGAGAGAGGAATTTGCCTCAGCGGGCAATAAAAAAGTAGCTACAACCAGCGTAGATAAGCTCGCCGCCAAGCCCGTTGTCAGCCTTCAAAGGTTAGAGATCAAGAGAGGCAGTAAGGTCAACCACAATCTCCATAACAACGGAGACATCCAACAAGGGTCTGTACAACAGATCCTTGATACGAAAATGGTTGACCTTGAAGCCACATTGGTCAAGCAAGTCGGCGAAATTATAAACGCCAGACTTGCAACATTCGAGGAGCGATTACCACCAGAGAAAAGCTTCAGGCCTCCGGTGGGAAAAGCGGCCGCCAATAAAGTCCCGACAGGAGTAAAACCCCCGAAGACATATGCGGCAGCAACAGCGGGCACAAAAAAGGGAACAGACCCCAGGGAGAAGACACGCACCACCACCGCTGTCACCCCTCAGGCTCTGCTCCCCCGAAGAAACCCAAAACCGAGGGCAAAGTGTTAGTGCAGAAACCGAAAATAGTTTTCATAGAGGAGGTCAGCACGAACATGAGAGTCCTCTCAGTCTCAAATGACCCAAAAGAGGACCAAGGGTGGAAACTGGCTGAGACGAGAAGAAAGAAGAAGAAGGAGGCAAAGACGACGACCGGCAGCAGCAACAACAACAACAACAACTACAAGATCCCACAGCAGTAGCAACAGTCACAGCCAACAAAAAAAGGGGGACACAAATCTCCCCCACAAAAAGCCGCCGAAAAACCGAAGATGGCGGCAAATGGAGGGAAGTCAATAAAAGTTGACAACAAAAAGGAAGCCGGGAAAACCGCCAACAATATTCGTCTCCACAAGAGAGCGGCGATCCTGATCAGCCTACCATCTCAAAGAGAAGACGAGATGGAAACGACTGACGGGGAAGGAAAGGCGGCCCAAAGATCGCTGGGCGAGGCGATGGCCGGAATCCAAAAGGAAATTAACCTGAAGGATTTCGGCATATCAGCATTAAAACCCAAAAGGGCCGCAACGGGGGGGGATGCTTTATGAGGTGCCGGGTGAAAATAACGCGGAAAAGGCCAAGTTACTCGCGGAGGCACTAAAAAAGTCATTGGAACCCAGGGGGATCAGGGTTTCGATCCCGGTAAAGAGGACAGACCTACGGATATCCTGTCTGGAGAACTCCACCACGACCGAGGACATCAAGGCGTCTATAGCGGAAAAAGGAAACTGCTCCGCAGAAGACGTCAAGATTGGAAAAATCTCCAGGTCCCCCAGAAATGGACTGGGATCGTGCTGGGTCCAGCTACCATCGACCGCGGCCAGTAAAGTGACCAAAACAGGTCCATTAGTTATCGGCTGGTCTGCGGTCAAGATAGAGACACTGGAGACTCGTCCCCTCCAGTGTTTCAATTGCATGGGGGTGGGCCATACACGCGCCACCTGCAAATCAGAGGTAGACCGTAGTGGCCTCTGCTATCGTTGTGGCCAAAACGGTCACAAGGCTGGCGATTGCACAGAAAAGCCTTGCTGCCCGTATTGTAAAGATAATGGGCACAAGGCTGAACACAGATACGGGAGCAAGGCTTGCAACTATATCAAACCAACCAAAGGGGGGGTTTAAAAGGCAAGCAGAGGCCAAAAATAAGCAAGGGGGAGGGAAAGAGTACAATTGCATCGAAGATAGCAGCCAACAAGGCTGTTAACGCAAAGGAGGTCAGAAGGGAGGAGAAGAGCAAACAACAACAATGAAGGCTCTTCTCCTCCAAGCCAATATGAACCACTCCGCCAGGACGCAAGACCTGCTAATGCAACACCTGGCGGAGTGGAACATTGATTTAGCCGTGGTGGCGGAGCCCTATCGAGTCCTCCAGAAAGACAACTGGATGGGGGATGAGGTAGGCCCCGTCACCATCATCGGAAAGGCGGAGAGGAGAGCACTCCCTCTCTCCCTAATGGGAAAGGGGAGGGCTTCGTATCGGTTAAGTGGGGGGAAGCTATAGTGGTAGGGGTGTATTTCTCTCCAAACAGAGACCTCGCCCAATTCGAGGAATATCTGGGTAGGCTGGCGGACGAGATAGACCGCCACCTCCCGGGTAAGGTACTGGTCATGGGGGACCTCAACGCGAAATCTGACGCGTGGGGTTTCCCGGTGCCCAACGCTAGGGGCGAGGTCCTAGAAGAGTGGGGGGCACAACTCGGCCTTCTAATTTTAAATAGAGGGTCTGAGTACACATGCGTGCGGTACAACGGGGGATCCATAGTGGATGTTACCTGGGGATCCCCACAAGCCGCGCGCATGGTAAGTGGCTGGCGAGTGATGGCGGGGTCGGAGAGCTTATCCGATCATAGATATATAAGGATGGAAATCTCCGACCCCTCGGTGGAACGCCAGCCACGCCCCCCGGTCGAGAGAAGGGGTACACCCCTACCCCCTCGATGGGCGTTAAAACGCCTAGACGAGGATGCCCTGATGGCGGCCGCCGCAGCGAAGGCATGGGAAGACCCTCCCATGCCCGACGCCTGCGATGCAAACGAGGAGGCGGCCTGGTTTCGCTCGGCAATGACGGAAGTATGCGACGCCGCCATGCCGAGGTGCCGGCCAACCACAAAAGGAGGGGGGTGTATTGGTGGTCTCAGGAGATCGCATGGATGCGTGCAACATGCATAAGAGCGAGACACCGATACACCCGATGCAGGCGCAGGCATCACACTAACGAAGAGGCGGCTCAACTGCTGGAGGATTACAAGTCGGCAAAGAAGACCCTCCAGCAGGCCATCAGGGATGCTAAAGCCAAGGCGTGGCAAGAACTGTTGGAGACCCTCAACAAGGACCCGTGGGGGCGGCCATACCGGATTGTCAGGAAGAAACTGCAGTCCGGGGGCCGCCCATCACAGAGGGTCTCCAACCGGACATGTTGGAGGAGGTGGTCACCACCCTCTTCCCCCCAGACGAAAGGGTGGAGGAGGGTGGTGGCAGACCCCGGGGTCCTACGACCCAAAATGGATGGAGCGAGGACCTCGGGGTCACTAGGAGGGAGCTTGCCCGGGCGGTCAAACGGCTCCGGGCGAAAAACACAGCTCCGGGGCCGGACGGAATCCCGGGCAAGGCTTGGGCTCTAGCTCTAAATGTTCTGGGGGGGGGGGGGATGAGACAATTATTCGATTGCTGCCTTAGGACGGGCCAGTTTTCAAAGATCTGGAAAGAAGCGAGGCTGGTCCTCCTAAGGAAAGAGGGGCGACCCGCAGAATCACCCGCGGCGTACCGCCCCATATGTTTATTAGACGAGGCGGGCAAGCTATTCGAAAGAATAGTAGCTGCCCGCCTCAGGGATCACCTGTCGCTGGTGGGACCCGACCTGGCGGACAGCCAGTACGGATTCCAAGAGGGCAGATCGACAATAGACGCAATTATGCGCGTCAAGGCCCTCTCGGATGACGCGGTGGAGAAGGGCGGCGTGTTGTTCGCGACGAGTCTCGATATCTCGAACGCGTTCAACACGCTGCCTTGGCAAATCGTCCGCGAGGCACTCCAACACCATGGAGTGCCTCAATATCTACAAGACTTGGTCGGGGACTACCTGAGCGACAGGGTCCATCCACTGAGGTGGATATCTTACACGGGGCGGTACCAAAGGCCGCATCGACAAAAAATGAGCAGGGGGGTTCCACAGGGGTCGGTCTTAGGACCACTCCTGTGTAACCTAGGATACGATCGGGTTCTGCGGGGCGCGCTTCTCCCGGGCATGCACCTTGTGTGTTACGCCGATGACACACTGGTGCTTGCCCGGGGGAATGATTGGGGGGATGCGAGGAACTTGTCTTCGGTGGGTGTGGTACTCGTCGTCGGTAGAATCCGCGCATTGGGTCTGGGTGTGGCCCTCCAAAAGACCGAAGTAATACACTTCAACGGTCCAAGGAGGAAGCCACCTCAGATCCAAATAGAGGTAGAAGGAGTCCAGATTGACGTGAAGCCCCATATGAAGTACTTGGGGCTCACACTCGACAGCCGGTGGAGCTGGCGGGAACATTTCCGTCGCTTGGCCCCCAGGATTAGGGCGGCGGTAAACAGCATTGGTTGTTTGTTGCCGAACATCGGGGGGCCCAAGGAAAGTGTACGTCGCCTTTACAGAGGAGCAATTGCGTCTATGGCGTTCTACGGAGCACCAGTGTGGGCGGGCGACCTGATGGCGCCAAGTCAAAGGCTTCTTCTGGATATCCAGAGGAAGCTAGCCATCAGAATCGTCCGCGGTTATCGCACGCTCTCTGTGGAGGCGGCATTAGTGGTGTCGGGGTCAATCCCATGGAATCTGCTGGCGGAGGCGTACAAGGAATTGTACGATCATAAGATCAACCTCCGTCAGCGGGGCTTGGCCCTGACACCCAAAGCGACGGAGGTGGCCCGGCGACAAACCAAGCAGCGCGCGGTAGATAAATGGTCGGAGGATCTCCTCCGACCAAGAGCCGGGCTGCGCGCTGTGGAAGCCATAAGGCCGGTCCTTCCAGACTGGCTGTCGAGAAGATCTGGGCTCTCATATAGGGTCGTGCAGGTGCTCACCGGGCACAGGTGCTTCGGGGAGTACCTGCACGACAAGGCGCGGAGAGAGCCGACGAGAGGGTGCCATCACTGCGGCGAGGTCATGGACACGGCGCAACACACAGTCGAACTCTGCCCAGCCTGGGCAGACCAGCGCCGTGTCCTGACCGACATCATAGGAGGAGACCTTAGGCTCCCCAGCATGGTCAAGGCCATGCTGGAGAGCCAACATAAATGGGAGGCGGTCACCTCCTTCTGCGAGGATGTCCTCACGCGGAAGGAGGTGGCCGAGAGGGAGAGAGAAGCCGACCCTAACGCGCACCCGATGCGCCAAAAAAGGGCCGGCGCAAGGGGGAGGCGGTTCGCCGCTCACGCGGCAATTAATTGAGGATTTTGTGGAGGGGGCGAGATGGGAGGAGGGAACCTCTCTCCTCCCGATCCCGCCTAGAAGAAGACAGAGGGAGGACTCCCGCGGGGACCAGGGCCGATTCCCAACCCATTTGGGGAAGGAGGGAACCTGATCCCCGGGGGAGAAACATCAACGGGAGAAGCGGAACGGAGGGGACGCGACCCCCACCCCAGGGTGGGATCAAGCGTCCCCTCCCTTCCGCTGAGGGGAGGCTTCCTCCAAGGAGGGAGTCTCCTGGGAGAGGTCTCGGGTGTTGGCGCCGAATCCTAACCCCCCTTTAAGGGCGGAAGGAGCGCCAACACCCGGGACGGGAGAGTCGCAGAGCACGAAGGGCGGGGGCCCTTCGAGCTCATTGCACGCGGCTCTCCAAGGAGGGGAGAGGAGTGGTGGTGATCCCCACTTCTCTCCGCCTGGCGGGTTTACCCGCCAAATGGGAGGGACGCACCCGAAAGGGGTGCGTCACGGCGTTTCGGAGGCCCGGTTGCATACGAAAGCGATTCCCGGGGCCTCCGAGTAGCGCCAGGAGGACCACCGTCAGGTTTAGCGGGTCGGGAGTGAGGCCTTCAGCCCTCTCCCATCCCCGCATAACCCGAAGCCTCCCCCGAGGTGGAGGGTATGTATTGAACACATTCCTGACGTAAAAAAAAAGGAAGAAATACCAGTGCCGATAACCAGCGGCTGCAGAAATTTATAAACAAAACAAGCGCCGAAAATCTACGTCATCTAAATTTTTCTCGTTTGTACGTTGACGAACAAAGGGTTGATTGGGATATATAATGAGGACCCTGATGCTGCCGAGTCATAGTACGGTGACCACTGGCGAGCTCACGCTCTCTTCATTCGGGGTGCAAGATGTTTGTCTTGCTATCAAGTGCTTCCGATATTCTCAGTTTAAGTGCCGAAACAGTTGCAATATATTCCGAAGATTGTTTTACTGCAAAAGTGCGGCTATTTCATAGAGCATTTATGGGACAAGCTTCCGGAGCACATCAAGACGGATCCGGAGGTTCAGACATATCGTCGCTGCCTCGAGCATTACAATCGGCCGTGGATGCGAACGCATATTGACGGTCCAGCACCGATGATCAGGGATTGCAGCGAATGTCAGCGAAAAAAGGCTGAGGTTAGGTTACAAGTGTAATACAGTGTGAAAAAGTGACAGACAATAAATATGTGGCCAGCGGGTTATCGCGAGGGAATGCTGTTTCATGAGATGCGATTCGAATTATTGAAAGTTGACGTGATAGTCAATGCCAATCTAATGGTAAAATATGTGTCCAAGTGTTCCGATAAAATGGAAGAAACTGATAGTGTAGTGTATAGAAAGGAAAGGGCTAAAAAGTGGGAGAAAGGAAGTAAATATTCCTATTACAATTGGTTGAAAGACTGTGATAAATGTATTGACATTTTGGAAGACCAATGTCCACCACCAGATAGATATAATGGTAATTTAAGATCTAGAAAATATCTTCTCTTTTATGAATTATCACTGAAAGCTCGCATTGCCGAACTTGGAGAAAAAAGAAAATGGTACGCAGAATATGCCTAAGCAAAGATACCAGTATGCCCGCGCTTACGAGCAAAACTCATGTAAACTCAATCGTGCAGGCAATACATGCGCGTGAAATAGGTTTCAAAAAACGTAACACGAAAGAGCTGTACAGAAGCCTCTATGCGA